TTTGACGACCAAAACTGAACGGCTGGGAATTTTGCAATTCTGATTGCAGATTCGTGCTCAGCGACCCCAAAAATATTCACAAAAGTGTTATCAAAAATTAATTTTTTCAATTGCAAATATGAAAAAAATGATGGGACATATGTGTCCCATTGGTCGGTAAAGGTAACTATTTACCTTTATTTTTCTATGAAAAAAACATGTCTCCCATAAGAACGACGTGTAAAATCTTTTCCATTTTTAAAATTTATAGAATCTTTTTAAACCAAAAATGGTTTGAATCATGCTTTGTTGTGCCCATTTAATCACGAATTTAACGATCTTTTTGTAAATTTGTGTGTTTCAAAATTCGCGAAAAGTGGTTGAAATACAGGGAAATCAGTGGTAATTATTTACCTTTACCGACCAATGGGACACATATGTCCCATCACGCCAAAAGCAATAAAAATTTGAAACAAATTTTTTTGTAGAAAAGGCGATTATCCTTGGAAAGTAACAGACACTCCGTACAACATTTCCAATTTTCAGCTTTAAAAGTTGTACCCTTCAAATTATATAGGGTTTGGCGGAATTTGAAAAAAAAGTTAAGATTTTTCGACTTTGAAGTGTTCTATTTGAGCACAGTGATGTAAAATATCCAATATTATGGTACTTTCTGGTATCTACATTCATTCTCTTTCAAAAGAAACCAATTTTATCGAAATCGGTCTAAAAATGTGGAAATTATTGACGAAAAACAAAATGGGACATATGTGTCCCAAAGGTATATGTGTCAAAGGGTTAAAAAAAAAATATGGATATTAAAATGAATCAATTTACGGTCCAGAAAAATAGCCTAAAGACTCTTAAAATCTTCTTGGGAAAAAAAATAACAACTACAGTAGCCTACATTCCATGCACACGTGTGCAAGGGGGAGGGTTTTCCGGTTTTACCCCCTCTCTAGCTTTCTAAAATGTGAGACCCCCTCGAGCGATTTGGAAAATTTTACACTAGATATTATCGATTTTCAAAAGTGAGAACCTTTTTTTAGGTCTTCACTTTTTTTCGACACCCATTGGCAAAATTTTTAGACCCCCATCTGCCAAAAATTTTTACCCCCCTCTAGGATTTTTGACCTTGCACACGTCTGATTCCATGTAGTGCTGAAAACGTCCAGAGTTGAAACGATATTTACAACGTCTTCTAGATGTGAACAGAACAAGAAAAAGAAAAATAAATAAAATATCACAAATTTGAGTCTAAGAAGAATCAAAAAGTATAAATAATATTGGGGTCCTACGATCAAATGAAAATATAATATGTGAAAACTATTTCTATGGCATAAATTCAAAACTAATTAGCCTTGGAAATGTGAAATATTGAAGTAATAGAGTGTAGCGAGTTGATACACCAGTGCAATGCAAACCAGCGTGCTATGAAATGAATGTTTTTGACTTTGCTCCAATACTGAGTGATTGACATGCTTGCGTGTGTATTTGTATGTTTGATAACCGCTCTGAACTGCAATGAACGCACACATGTTTACTCCAATATAGAGCTTTCTACCTGTATTCCGTGTAGGAATAAAATATTCCATGGTTGTGTTGCGAATTGTGTGTGTTAAACTGTGTTTTACTTTATTTTGTTGGTACATACATATGCGACACGTAAGATCAAATGCTTTGATAATTGGTTGCAGATAGAAGTTATGTGAATGTGCTTATCTTTTGAATGGTTCCCGTCGTTTGTTTACAAAAAAATACATCGCACTACGTTCAGTCTAGCGATTACTCTAGCCGACAATAGAAGAATAGCGTGCTTCGTTTTACTTTCATATTTTTGTGAGTGATCTAACTTTTCAATCAAAAATTGAACTCATATTTATTTAAATATCAACATGAATTATAATTTCTGTTTATAAATAAAAACAGTTAGCTCATAATTCAATTAATATAATTCAATGAATTATTAGTGCTAATGTTACAGTCATATTACTTGCATTCGTTATAAAATAAAGAGTGAATTATGGTACACCATGATCATCGATACAGTATACAAATTCCATTATATTCGATAAGCAGAACAACAATCCAACAACAGTTTGCTCCTACAGAATACACTATTATACAGCCAACAAAATAATATAGCTTGTTATAACCGAACAGAGCTAGACAAAAACACACTGTGTGTGTATGCACTTGCATGTAGCCTAACAACGGACTCACAGTAGATGTTCGGCGCACACAGTTGAACCGAAATCTATGTAAATGTGGACGTACACCAAAAATACAAGAAATGTGTGCGACGCACATCTACTGTGAGTACGGTGTTGGGCTAAGTGCATACACACAGTGTTTTTTTCCAGCTCTACAACCAAAACACTAGAACAAACTCATGAATAGTAGATGCTCATGCGAAAACCAATGCATTTTCACTATCTTCCGTTTTTTTTCTTCATAGAAATAATTATTTCAGTCAATTCATCGCGCCGTTATTATTTTTGGAGGCAACAAAAACTTGTATGTTCAGCGAATCTTGACTGGAAGTGGAACAGCATGCAAGTTGTAGAAAAGAAGTTAAGAAAGCGTAATCCGAGGGAATCTGCTAACCTAATCTCGATATTATTGTTTGGATGGTCAATACCGTTTTTCAAAGCCGCCTACAATAGAACATTGGATTCGAACGATGTATGCGTACCACTTAGAGAAGATCTATCCTGTGTGCTTGGTGATCGCCTTGAAAGGTTACAATTTTTACAATGATTTCCTTGTTTTATCCTAAGACTAACCAGCAAAACGTTATAGCACAAGGACAATTTAAACAATTCTCTTCATTTTCAGAAATTGGCAAGTTGAGTGCAACAAAATGAAAAATCCACTTTTATTGCGAGCGATAGCGAAAACATTCTGGTTTGAAATCGTCTTCATGGGATTTTTGTGTTTCATGAATCTATGCGTTTTTCAATTAACTCTTCCACTTTGCATTGGAGAATTCGTATCATATTTTCGGTAATTCATTGCTTGTAATTTTCATTGCAAAAATAGATCAATATTCTAATTTTTTCTTCTAAGCACTAACTCTATACAGTCACGTGATGATGTATTGAAATATGGCACAGTAATTATTTTGTTGACTATCATGTCTGGATTGTGCTATGTTCATTACTATTTCTATGGACGGTATTACGGAATGAGAATTCGTGTTGCTGTTTGCAGTCTTATCTATAGAAAGGTGTGTTTACTTAATATGTTTTATTGCGTTTAAATACACTTATCTCTATCATCATTGTGTTGATTCAGACACTTCAACTGTCGCAGAGGGCCTTAAGTGAGACATCACCTGGAAAATTGATCAATTTATTATCGAATGATGTTAGTCGTTTCGATTTCCTATGTACGTTTTTGCATCTATTATGGATGGCTCCTATGATGACGGTTATTGCCACATACATCCTATGGACCGAAGTTCGTTGGGCTGGAGTTATTGGAGTAGCTGTGATTTTTTGCATTGTTCCGATTCAAGGTAATTTCACTCACATTTTCATGCATATATCGTATTCAATCTGATAATGGGGGGATTTTTTTTCGCAAGCCGTCTCTAATGAAATAACCTAGGGGGAAAAATCATTTTTTTCATCTTTTATATCCGCACGCATCAAGTAATAACTTAGAAATTCAATGGTATGCATGTAAATCCGAAATATCCATGTATATTCAACAATATTCATCGTGAACGACAAATGAATATTACTGAATATACATAGATATGCCAAATTTACGTGTATAAGTATGAAAAATAAAAATAATAGTGAATCAATCCTTCAACCGTAAATTTGATTGATTTTGGTAGATAACGGTGAATATTGGAACATTTTTTGACATTACAGTCTAATGAATATTATTAAATATACATAGATATTTGAGATTGACGTGCATACCAGTAAATTTGTGCAGATTGTATCGTCAAAAAATGGTCCAATATTCATCGTTATCCACCAAAAACCTTCAAAAGTGGTTCAAATTTTCGGTTGAAGGTTTGATTCACTATTATTTTTATTTTTTCAGAGTTATTTGCGTTCTGCAAAATCGCGTGAAGCCCCTAGGAAATAACGCATTTTCTATGTCGTTACATTTTTTTACGTCCAAAATCTCTTTTTTGTGGAAAAATCCAAAGTTCTATAAACAAATTCGATTATTTCTTATTTTAGTTGCACGAATTGTTTCCAAAAAATTGAAAAATTGAATGAGATGCGTTGTTTAGTTTGTCACGGTTTGCCTAAAAAATTCTCCCTGATTTGAGCTTCACACTGATGATCTTTTCAAAGCGTAGGCTATTTGGGAAAGTTCGCTGCTAGTATCCGTTTTAAAATTGCAACACGAACAGATGAACGCGTTCGCTTTATGGATGAGATTATTTCTGGCGTACAAGTAATCAAGATGTATAGCTGGGAAAAAGCATTTGCTCAACTTGTTGCGGTGGCTCGACGATCGGAATTGAAAATAATTCTAAAAAATGGATATGTACGTGCAGCATTTATGACGCTCAATCTGTTCACTAGTCGGCTGGCTCTATTCTGTTCAGTTTTATCGATAATTTTACTGTACGGTCGCGAAAATATTACGGTATCAAAGGTGTTCATGATGTCAAGTATGTTTTCAGCGATTTCCTATGGAATGAGCTATTCATTTGCCAGAAGTGTTACCGAAGTGGGAGACTCATTGGTTACATTCAGGCGTTTACAAACATTTCTTCAGTATGAAGAAATCGGTGATTTTGACTGTGATAATTCGGGATCGGTGGAAAAATCTGAGAGCAAAGAGTTTGGGACGACCCAAAAACAAAAGGCCTCAAAGGATACGGCAATTTCAATGAAGAACGTTTCGGCTGGATGGAGAGATCACTTGAAACCAACGAATACATCCAAATCTAAAGCTACCTATAACGACCACGGAGCAATGCCAAACGAATTCAAACCATTCATGCTCCAAGACATTGATCTAGAGCTACCGAAAGGAAAGTTAATCTTCGTAATTGGATCGGTTGGCGCGGGCAAGTCAACATTATTCCAAGTTTTATTACGTGAATTACCGTTGATTTGCGGTTCAATTATTAGAATTAACGGTTCGATATCGTATGCAAGTCAACAAAGTTGGATTTTTAATCACAATTTAAAACAAAACATAACGTTTGGACAACCATTGGATCAATCGCGATATGATGCGGTTGTTCGATGTACAGCTTTGGAAAAGGATTTCGAACAGCTTCCGGCAGGTGATTTGACGGTGGTCGGTGAAAACGGCAGTGGACTTTCTGGTGGTCAAAAATCGAGAATCAAGTAAATCATGTTCGAAATCAGTCTTTCTATTACATCCACAGTTTTTGTTAGTGTCATTCAATCCTCAGATTATAATCGCTCGTTTCAGTTTGGCACGCGCTATATATAGACGCAGCGACATCTATTTGATCGATGACCCACTGAGTGCTGTTGATACTCATGTTCAATCACAAATATTCACGGAATGCATAGGTCCCAATGGATTTTTGGCCAAGCAGCAATCGACTAGAGTTTTGATTACACATCAAATACATTTCCTGACAGATGCCGACTGGATCATCGTATTGAAAGATGTAAGAAGTTATGAGTTTGGCTTTCAGAGATCGAGAAAATAACCATTCAATTTATATATTTGTAGGGAAAAATCGAAACTCAAGGAGACTATGATCATGTTTTGAATAGCGGTGTCGATTTGGCAAGCCTATTAAAAACAAATGAAGAGGAGAATATCAAAAAATGTGAAATTAAAAAATTGTCACTGAAAAAATCTGAAATCATAATGGACAACAGCAAGAATATTCCACCGCAATCCATTGCTAACGAATCATTGCAACAGAAGGGGGTCGTTGAAGAAGAAACGGAACTTCTCGAGAAATTGGAAGCATCTTCAAAGGGACAAATTAAGGGATCGTTGATTGTAAACTATTTCAAAGCTTCAAAAAGACCATTTTGCTTGCTATACCTAATGCTATCCTTCGTACTAGTTCAAATTCTTGCTGGCAGTGCGGATGTATTTGTTTCACGTTGGTAATACTTATTGAACTTATTGACATTTGAAAATTTAAAATTTCCCCCTCGTATAATCAATATATAACGCATGTAATCATTCTTTCACTTTTAAGGATAAGAAATGAAGAGACCAAAACCCAAATAATGAGATTAAATAATCAAACCGCGAGCAACTTAGATCTGAATAATTGGTCAACCGAATTGTACACATGCATTTACGGTGGAATAATGTGTGCATTGTTGATAATAGCCGTAACGAGATCGATATCTTACTATCACGTTTGTATGGCTGCCTCACAGAACATGCACGATTCAATGTTTCGCGGCATCATTTCAACAACGATGCGATTTTTCAATGTTAATCCATCGGGCCGAATAATGAACCGCTTTTCAAAAGATATGGGCAGCACAGATGAAGCCTTGCCAAAAGTTATGCTCGACGCTATTCAACTAAATTTAAGCACAATCGGAGCGATTATCGTAACAATTTTTGCAGACACAAGACTTATAATCCCTGTAATATGTTTGAGTTTCTCATTTTTCTTGGCACGTCGAATATATTTGAAAAGTTCAACGAATATCAAACGAATGGAAGGAATCAGTATGTAAAACATGTGAATCGAATCCTTTAAGAAGAATTTTCTGAATTGGATTCCTTAAAAGTGTTGATGTTTTTAATTTGACTAAATTTTGCAGCGAAATCACCCATTTTCAATCACATTTCTGCTACATTAAGTGGTCTACCCACAATACGAGCCAATCAAGCGGAAAGAGCCTTACGGGATGAGTTCGACAGACATCAAGATCTCAATACGGGTACCTGGTACATGGGTGCAGGTAAAAAACGATTGAATCAAATGTGGACTTATAAACAAGATTTTTTTTTATTGATGATTCGACTATAGGTATAGCAGATGCATTTGGTATAGCGCTTGATATCATGGTGTACGCCTTTGTTGCAGCTATCATATACTTTTTTGTGCTAGTGAATGAAGGTTTGCTTTTGGTTAAATGTCTACATGGCAACATTGTTTTTTTTAACGAAATTTTTCAAATATTTTCAGACGCTACTGGTGATCGTGTTGGTCTTGCCATTACGCAATCCGTGGCATTGATGTCATGGTTACAATTTGGCGTAAAACAAAGAAAGTATCCAAAAGATTTCTTCTCACATCTTACATTTGTTTCATACAATTTTTGTTTCATTAGGTGCTGAAGTGACAAATCAATTGGTATCTGTTGAACGTATCTTGGAATATTGTCAATTGAAACCAGAAAAACAGCCAGAAATACCGGTGCGTGTGCTGTCAACGTGGCCTGCAAATGGAAAAATCGAATTCAAAAATGTATTTTATCGCTATTCTGTTGATAGCGATGCCGTTTTACGTGGGTTATCATTTGTGGTGAAGCCACAAGAGAAGATCAGTGTAGTTGGTAGAACGGGTGCTGGAAAATCTTCGTTGGTCCATGCGATTTTCCGATTGGCCGAAGTTGAGGGTGACATACTCATCGATGATGTAAATGCATCTTCCGTCGAATTGAGTGTATTGCGATCGAGAATTTCAATTATACCCCAAGAACCGACTCTTTTCTCCGGAACATTAAGAAGGTATAAACGTAGGTTCTAGTACCACAATAAATGTTAACGGCTACCATTTCATCCACGATCAGGAATCTAGATCCATTTGAACAATATTCAGATGATGCTATTTGGAAGGCTTTAGATGATGTCGAACTTAAGGAATTCGTAAGCAAAAACAATGGCTTATCGATGCCAGTTCTAGCACATGGACAAAATTTTAGCACAGGACAACGACAAACATTGTGCTTAGCGCGAGCAATTCTTCGCAAAAATAAAATCATAATTCTAGATGAAGCTACTGCTAATTTGGATTTGAGGTAGAGTAAATTGTGTGATTAAGCTTTTCGGCCACTGATTCAATGTATTGTACTTTCAGAACGGATGAAATGATTCAACGAACGATTAGGAGCAAATTCGCTGACTCAACGGTCATTACTATAGCCCATCGACTCAACACGGTTATCGATTCAGATCGAGTATTGGTGATGGATGCTGGTGTAGCTGTCGAATTTGATGAACCGTATAAATTGATGATGATGAAAGAGAACGGAATATTCAAGCAAATGGTCGAAGCACTTGGATCACAAGAATACGATCGACTGTTGGCGTTGGCTCAAAAAAAGTTTGAATTGTCGAAAAATGATTCGAAATTGTGAAAAGTTCTGTTTTTAAGGAATGCGTATAACTTCTCATTATGATTAGAAATTATTATTATCATCAATCATTTCGTTAATGATGAAATATTTAAAAAGAATCGCCATTGATGTTATTTATTCTAATGCATTGGGACAAATACATAACTGACCATAAATGAAAACATGGATTTTTGTTTTTGGAATTTATGCCAACATTGAGTAATTGTCAATGTTTGCAAATGCTCAGCAAACGGGAAATTGTAATCTCCAAAATTCAACGCATATAACTGGTTGATGTGGACCGTTTTGAAATGAAATACAGTTTAGACATGGAATCAGTACATTTTCCACTTCATACTCCCCACTTGAAATTGTTGCTTCGATTATTTCAGGTTCATTCTTGCAAAAAACAGCTCTGCTAAACAAGAATCTAGAAGATTGCTAGAAGTACATCAAAGCGCGAATAAAAAAGCCAAAAATTAAACAACGTCATAAAAACAGACAAACCTATGAATTTATATGTATCTTCTAAGCTTTGTTTTAATTTGGCGTTTGATTCACGAAGAAAAAGAGCTGAAAAACAATGAAATGGTTTTATCCTTCAATACAATATCCTCAAAAACGTTTGTGGAAACAGGCTAGATATTTTTAAGACTGCGACAAAATGAGGATTATTATCGTTGTTGTCAAAACAAATTAACTCAATATACTATTGGAAAGCATTTTGGATGGTCGTTTTTTCAGATTTGATGGAGTTGGTGTATAGCAGAAACATTTACGCCCACAAGAAATCCCAACTCAAATACACTCATTTTACACCGCCCACTATTTGCTTTCGCATACAAATATTGTTGTGTACGTAAAAATTTCTATAGACTAGTTTTTAGATTCGTTTCGAATTCATAATCTGTCAGAAAATTTAGTTTTATTTCAAGTGTCGAATCGGATTGTTCCCCTTTTCAAATAAAAATCAACTCAAACAAATCAATAACAAACAATATAAACGTGTCAACTTCATATTTCGTTTCAATAAGAAAAGTTTGATCATTTTAATACTCTTGGCGTGATATTCAATTTCTTGTTGAATTATCGACAGAAACAAAAATGGCACCGAATACACAATACAACATTCAGAACGTCATATCATCCAGCGTCGAAGAATTTTACTTGAGCGAGGAGATGGCGGATATCCACTTTATTTTCGAATCAGCCGATGGTCAATGTGAACACATACCGGCCCACAAACTATTGCTGGTCACCGCAAGTGACGTCTTTCGCACAATGTTCAATAGGACGTGGCAAGAAAAAGACGAGGTTAAGATTGTTGATGCCTCAGTCGAGGCCTTCAAAGAATTTCTGCAATTCTTTTATTTGCCGCGGGTAAAAATCACAACGGACCACATTACAGAAGTCATATACCTCGGAAACAAATACAATTTGACCAATTGCTTAAGGGTATGTGAACAATTCATCATGAACTCAGTGGACGAAGACAACGTCTGTTGGGCATATGAGCATGGGATTTTCTTTGATCAAGCGGCTCTGATTAAATTTTGTGAAATATTCATCGGAATCAATACGAAAGCGGTGTTGGAATCAGAAGACTTTTTGGAATGCAACTCGAGTGTAATAAGTCACATTTTAAAGTTGGATATGTTGTCCTGTTCAGAGGGAGAAATCTTCAAAGCGTGCATGAACTGGATCAAAGCAACTGCAAGGGTTGATCAACTAACACAAGCTGTCGTACAAATCCAATGTGGCGAATTGTTTGGCGATATTCACTTCAAATCGATGACATCACAAGAACTCGCAATGCTAATTCCGTCACATGCTGGTCTATTCTCAAGCGAAGAATTCAAAATTATTTGGCAGTTGGCGGCACTGCCTAAATTTCAGTCAATTAAATTCAGCGAAAAGTGTAGAACACCGTTGAAACCTGTTTCATGGATTAAAAAGCCCATGATTGATTGTGAACGTTTGATACTAAGACAAAATTTCTTAGATCAGCCGTATTTTATTCAAAATGTTGAAACAACAACATTCTCAATCAATCAGCCACTCTTTTTGACTGAATTGCGATGTGCTGATATAGCTAGACATGATGACAACACGTACTATATAGCATATGATCTGCCAACTGAAGTGACTATCACCGAAATACCGGATTCGAATCAATCTGGCGACGAAATAGTTCTGTATAATGCGAAAACCATTCTACTTGGTGATATCGGGCGAACATTCATAAATTTAGTGAAGCCAATTCTTGTGAAACCGGGATTTACGTATCAAATTCGTCTACAACAATTGCCAATAGGAGGAGAGCATTGCACTGGAGAGTTTCTGAAATCGGAAGTTGAAATGAAGCCAAACATCATTGTAAAATTCCACGGATGTAGCCCAATTATTGCATCACGAAGAGCGCCAAACAAAAAATTTACAAGAGGACTCATTAGCGGCTTCAAATTCCTGGACATTTATAAATAAATTTGGAATAACGAAGTCTATCTCTTTTGTCAACAAAATAAAAAACAATATATTTTCCATATAAAATGAACATACTCATTCAAACTGCCAAAAAGTATCGATAAACAAAAAAAAAACATTTGTACATAAACACATAAATCGCTCAATAAAGACAGCGATTAACTCATTTTATTTCGAAATTTTGTGAACTGTTCGTCGTCCGTTTCGTGAACGGACGGTTCATGTGCACTACATGCACACGACATTGTGTTGCATTAAGCTTCTAACAAGGTTCACTCTGTGCTATTTTTCGATTCTGCAATATTTTTCCATTCCAATCGAAATCTTCCACACAAATTATCCTCGTAATGCCAATCGAATCTCCGAAAATTGAGATTATTTTTTCGATCCTTTGCGATTATCTCAAAGAGAGGCTTTTCTGTATGTTCAGATTCTACTTTCAAGAGCCTTTGAAACATTCTAATTTGTTTGAATAATAAAAAAAACACAATACTCCCGAGAATATTGTCTGAGTACCATCAGGTAATCACCCCAAATTAGCTGAAGCTTTAATCTTTGGTCGAAAAAGAAGTGACAATTGAAATATTTAAATTGTGGGGTTTTATGGATTATAACCATCTGCAAAAAAAAACAAATTTTACTTCCAAAACTGCTACAAAATACACTAAATACTGTTCTCTATCGGAGATTATGAAAAAAATGCTGTTAATCACCGGCTCGTTTTCTCATTAGTGAATTTCAAGGAGGAAATTTACAAAGCAGAGGACAAAAAATGCACATCCCATAAGAGAGGTCAGATGCACGCTCAGTACCACACACATACCTGTACAATGTGCATAGACACCTTTAATCTGCTCATTGACACCGCCCAGTTTTTATTCTCGAGCTTATAGTTTTTGCAAACCAAATCAGATAATTTAGTCGAGTTTTAGTTGTTGAACGAAGACAAACGCTGTTTTTTTTTTCAAACAGGCTTATAATTTACTAGTAACAATATTCAGGTTTCAAATAAGTATTCAGTTATTTTGGACTCTCACATAAATTGTTCAATTCATATGAAAGAGTTTGGACAAAATAGTCAATCTGGATACATATTCTAACTGCCGCCAATCTAGTTGTGTGTAAAAAAAATATTTCTATTGTTAAATTCAATCAGCTTCCCAAAATTAACCGAAATCAAAATGGCATCGAATACGGAGTCTTCTAACGACATTTTCCCGACCATCGAAGAATTTCATTTGAGTAAGGAAATGGCGGACTTTTATTTTTTTTTCGAATCGGCTGATGGAAAAATCGAACGTCTTGCGGCGCACAAGGTCCTATTGGCCATCACGAGTGATGTCTTCCGTACGATGTTCAATGGATCGTGGCGAGAGACAAACGAAGTGGCAATTGTTGATGCTCCGGTCGATGCATTCAAAGAATTCCTAAAATATTTTTACCGAAAGCCAACCACAATTTCCATGGATCATGCAGCCAAAATCATGTACCTCGGCGATAAATACAATGTGTCCAAGTGCCTGAATGAATGTGGACAATTTCTTGTAAACACACTGTGTGAAGACAACGTTTGTTCAGCATATGAGCTTGGTATTTTATTCGATCACACCAACCTAAAGGAAGAGTATGAAAATTTTATCGTAATGAATACGAAAGCAGTGTTGGAATCGGAGAGTTTCTTGGAATGTGATTCGACTGTGTTAAGTCACATTTTGAAGTTGGATATTTTGACCTGTTCAGAAGGATAAGTCTTCGACGCGTGCATAAACTGGATCAAAGCAACCGCAAAGGTAGATCAACTTACCCGAGAAGTCGTTCAAGCTCAACTTGGCAATATCTTTAACGATATTCGTTTCAAATCGATGAAACCACAAGAATTTGAACGTTTCATTCCGTTATATCGTGATCTATTCTCATCCGATGAACTGGAAAATATTTCGCGAATGATTAAATTGCCAGAATTTCAGTCTACGGTATTTCATAATGGCCATAGAACACTTCTTATAATTCGTGCATATGATGAAAAGTATTTGATCAAATGTGACCGATCAAATGTGATCCTTCAACCGGTTCGATTCTTATAAATACTATATTCAAAGTGTGGAAAAGACAATATTCTCAATCAATCAACCACTTTTTTTGAGAGCATTCGAATGTTCCAATCTAAAAGAATATAAAAGCGAATATCGTAACTATACTACTAGTGATCTGCCATCTGAAATATCAATCATTCAAATTCCTGAATCGGGTCAACCTGGGAATGAAGTTCTTCTTTATAGTGGCAAAACAACTCTACTGAGTAATAACGACACATTTGTAAAGTTAAACAAACCGATTCTCGTTAGACCTGGATTCAAGTACGAAATTCATCTAAAACAGACTCCACCGAAAGGTTACTGCTCCGGAGACATATTGAAGACGAAAGTTCAAATGCAATCAAAAATTATTGTACAATTCTATGGAGATTCTAAAGATAAATTTAATTATAATAATAAGGAAGGTGAAAGGGGATTGATTACCGTCCTCAAATTTACTCGAATTCCTCAATAACAACGATAGTATGTCAGGAAATCGAAATTTAAGCCACGAAAAAATTGTTATGAAATAAAATGAATATTTTTCAACCAATAAATATTATACACCAGAGACTTTTTTTTCCCGAAGACGAAAGGCTCCGCCATACACCATATCGACAGCTAGTTCACATTATCATTTCACACAAATTTATTCATATTGTTAGAAAAGGATAATTGTTATGAAGATACAAAAAAAAAAAAAAATAGAACGATAAATCTATGAACACACTCAATATTATAGCGACATCTATTATTAAAATAGCTTGTAGT